TTTGGAGTCCTAAAGCATTCCCCTATGTTTTCTTCTCGTCATTTCATACTTTCAAGTTAAAATGGATTAAATCTTTACTGACTGATTTTACTAACTGGTAAGAGATGGGGGGCCTAGTTTGATTCTTCTGAATGTTGGACACCTGACTTGCTCTGCATTCTTTATTAAAAATACTGCTTTTCTCCAGTGTGTTTTCCTAGCACCTTTGTGAAAATCACTTGACTTTGGATGAGTGGGTTTACGTTCTCTGTGCTCTTGGTTCTCTGTGTCAACCTTTATGCCAGTGCCGTGCTATTTGGATGATAACAGCTTTGCAGTGTACTTAGTGTGGTGCCTGTTGCTTTGTTCCTTTTGCTCAAATTTGCTTAGGCTGTATGAGGTTTTTGTTAACATAGAAACTTCAGGATTTTCTAGTTCTGTGAAGAATGTCATTGGTCTTTTCATTGGGATTGCATTGACTTTGCAGATTGCTGTAGGTAGTGTGAGCGTTTTAGCAGTATCTGTACACTCTATGAACCATGGTTTGTTGTTTTCATTTTTATGTGTGCATGTGTCCTTTTCAAGTTGTTTAAGTTAATGCTTTGTAAGTTTCATTTTACAGAACTTTTACCTCTTTGGTTAAATTTAGTCTTAGTTTTTTTTTTTTTTTTTTTTTTTTTTTTTTTTTTTTTTACTAATTTCTAGATAATTGACAATGTGAAATAGGAAGAAAAGGGCTAAAGGTGTAGGGGAAGTGGGAAGGGTAGGGGAAAGGTAATAAGGGAAAAGAAAAAATAGGACAAAATGAAAAAATAGAAATAAAGTGTTTGTAAATGGGAGGGCTTTGAGGAAGGGGTCAAGGGAGGGCAGGGACAAGGGGAAAAAATGAGAACCAAGACCTGTCATGTAAAGGTACAAGATCCCAATGATGAATGTCACTGTACTGTATACCTAAAATGTACCAATAAACTCAGTGAGAAAAAAAAATAAATGGAATTGCTTTCTTCATTTCATTTTCAGATAATTGGCTATTGATGTACGCCAAGACTACAGATTCTTTTTTTTTTTGGTGCCGGGGATCTAACTCAGGACCTTGTGATTGTGAGGTGGGCACAGTGCCACTGAACTAAATTCCTGAACCAAGACTACAGATTCTTATATGTTGACTTTTGTGCCCTGAATCTTTACTAAATTTATTAGTTGTAATATTTTTGGTGGTCTTTGAGATTTTCTATATATATAAGATCACGTCATCTGCAAACAGCAATACTCTGACTTCCCTTTTTCCAATTTGGATGCCCTTTTCTTGTGTAATCATTGTGGCTAGAACATCTGTGTTGAGCAAAAAAGTGATGAAAGTGGTATCCTTATCTTGTTCCAGGTGTTTAAAAGCTTTTGTTTCAGTATAACGTTAGGTGTTGGTTTCATATATACGGCTTTTGATACATTGAGATGCATTCCTTCACAGCATTGTTCAGTGTTTTGGTTTGGTTTTCTGAGACTGAATCTTCCTGTGTATGTAGTTCAGGCTGGCCTTGAACTCACTGTGTAGCCCATACTGGCCTCCAGCTCATGGGGACCCTTCTGCATCAGCCTCTCGTGTTCGCGGGAGGTCTTTAGGTCATTGAGGAGATGGATACCTTTGAAGTGGGTGTGGGACCAGCTCGTGCTTGTTGAGGCATTGCTCCACTGTATTTTGCTTGGTGTTTTGTGGCCTGACTGGGGAAGCAACAGGTCCATGTTCACGGACAGACCCGTGTCCTTTCTCTTTATGACTTGATTGTCTTGGGTGTTGCTGTAACAGTGGAAGCAAACACAGACCTCTTTGGGAGTCTAGTAAAGGTTTGTCCATTTTATCTTTTTTGAAGAACCAACTTTTCATTCCATTGATCTTTTATATTTTTTTAGCCTATTTCATTTATTTTTGTTCTGAATGTTGTTTTTTTCCTCCTACTAATTTGGGGTTTGGTTTATTCTAGTTTTTCTAATTTCTTGAAATATGGCAGTAATTTTTTTAATGAATTCCTTCTGTTTTTTCACGTAGGCATTGATTACTGTAAACTTTTTCTTAGTGCTGCTTTTGTGATATCCCACAGGTTTTGGTATTTTTGTTTCCATTTTCATTTGTTTCAAGAAATTAAAAAATTTCCTTCTTAGTTTCTTCTTTGATCCATTAGTTGTTCAAGAGAAAGTTAATTTACATGTATTTGAGGTTCTGTATGTGTGTGTAGTACAGCAGATTGAACACAGAGGCCTTGCATTTCCAGCCCATTTTTATTTTATTTTGAGAAAGGGTCTAAGTTGCCTAGGCTGGGCTCAAATATATGATTCTCCAGATAGAAGAAAAATATAACTCCCAACCTGCTAAGTGTCACATGTGCCGAGTTCGTGTCCCCCGAATTTTGAAGAATGAATTCCAAGGGGAAAGGAGGCTAAGAGAAAGCTCCTGAGAGGCAGAAGGGTCCCGAGTGGGTGGTCACTGAGGCCCTTTGTCAGTGGTAGTTCACACAGCAAAATCAAATGGGGTACAGCGTGGGCCAAGCTGCAGTCAGTCTCTAGAGTTACGAGTATAGCCGGTTAGCTAATGCTGATCCAGTAGGGAAGCAACACACATAACAAAGGTACACGGAACATTCTTGATAGGGAGGGGAGGATGGGTCCAGGGTTCCAGTCATGCACCAGATGTCACGCACCGCCCGAGCAGGTGCTGCTATTTACGGTATAGTCTCAAGCTGCTGCTTAGCTTGCAGGCCTGGCCTTCACAGCTCCATCACGAGGCCTCCCTCTTCAGATTTGCCTCCAGCCGCAATTCTGAGGTCTGTTTTTTGTGCATACTTCCTTGAGGGCCCAGTCCTTCTCTGACTGTGTATTTCTATTCATTGCCTATAATATTTCCGCCTCAGTCTCCCAGAGAGCTGGGATTACAGGACTGTATTATCAGGTGTTAAATTAGTAGTTTTATTGCGCTGTGGTCAGAAAAGATACTTGATGTGATTTTAGTTTTTTAAAACTTTCTGCCAGGTGTGGTGGCACTTAAGAGGCTGAGGCAGGAAGATTGCCACCAGAGCTATATTAGTTCAAGGCCAGCCTGAGCTAAGTGAGATCCTATTTCAAAGTCCTCCCCCCTAAAAAGTTTGTTGAGACTTGTTTTATAGCTTTTCTTTTTTTAAAATAAAATTAATTTTATCCTTTTCCCCAACCCCCTCCCTTCCCTATGTACAAAAACTTTCTTTCCGCTTTTTCCTTGTTTTCACTTTTTTCTTGTCCCTTCCTTCCTCTCCCCCTGCCTCCTCCCTTGATCCCCTTCCCATCTGAACTTTCTTCCCATTTCCCAGCATCCATTGCACATCTTAGTTGTTTTGTAGCTTTTTTCTTTTTTTTTTGAGATAGGGTCTCACTATGTAGTTGAGACTGACCTGAAACTCACTGTATAGCCCAGGCTGGTCTCGAACTCACAGGGATCCTCCTGCCTCAGCCTCCTGAGTGCTGGGATTACAAGCGTGAGCCAGCATGCCCGGCTGTTTTGTAGCTTTTCATGTGCTCTATCTCAGAGAGTGTTCTGTGTGCTGATGAGAGGAATGTGTGTTCTGCCATTGGGTGGAAGGTTCTGTAGATGTCTTTGATTTATTTTTTATTTTATTTTATTTGTACCAGGAATTGAACCCGGGTCCTTGCTCTTGTGAGGCAAGCAGAGGAACTTCTGAGCTAAATCCCTGGCCTGTAGATGTCTTTTAGTTCCTTTTGGTCCTGGGTGCAATTTAACACTGCTGTTTCTCTGTTGATTTTCTGTCTAGATGATCTGGATTTAAGAAAAGTAGAGATCTCGGCCTTTTGTGTGGCATTTTTTGTGCTGTAAGGCGGTATGACACTCTCCCCAGCTCTGTGTCCCTCCCCTGGGCCTGTAGCTCTGTGTGGTGGTTTCACTGCCTGGCCAGTGAATGTGGTGGCTGTGTCTGCCCCGAGTGAAGGTTATTTGCCTCTTGGGTGTCAGTGCTCAGTCCTCGCGTGATGGCGTCTGTCACACTGGATTCTGACCCTCTGCTGCTACCGCAGTGCTTGAGGGCAGCAGTCTCACCTCCTGGTCAGCGGGGCGCGGTGCTGTGTGCGCTCCTGAGTACAGTGAGGTCTCAGTACCCAGCGGGCCTGAACGTTTGCAGAATTCGGAGTAATTATTTGTTGAATGATTCATGAATAGCATGGCTTATTTATGTGGTGTTTAGAAATTAATTTCCAGATATTGAAGAAATGGTTGAGTTTAAAAGTCTGATTTAATGATTTCTAGAATTAAAAATCTTGGCATGACTAAGAAGACTTGGTTACATTAATTGTTATTGCTTGAAAAATGTTCATGGAATTGAATTGTTTTGTTCTCCCATTTTGGAGAGTAACATTGTTTACTTGAGAACTTCAGAACCCTGCGTAACATTTATTGAGTATCTGAAGTGGTGGTGAACGCCTATAATCCCAGCACTCAGAAGGCTGAGGCTGGAAGATCGCTGGGAGTTCAAGACTAGCCTGGACTACATAGTGAGACCTTGTCCCAAAAAACTTAAAACCAAAACCAAAAAAACATTTTTTGAGTGCTGGGGATCGAAACCAAGGTTGAATGTGTACTATGCAAGTGCTTTACCACCAAGCTACACCCCTAGGCCAACTGTTACGTTTAAAAACTTTCTCTAGCCAGTCGTGATGGCCCAAGCCTGTAATCCCAGCAGGAGGCTGAGGCAGGAGGATTGCTGTGTGTTTGAGACCAGCCTAGGCTACATAGTGAGTTTCAGGTCAGTCTCAACTACATGTGTCTCAAAAAAAAAAAAAAAAACCAAGAAAAAAAAACCAAAAAACTTTTTTGCAAAAATCAAATGGGGCCATCATTGAAAGAGTAAAAAATTTATAGTATCTTTGAAATACTTGCAAAGAAGATAGATTAGAAATAAATTGTTTTTATGTCTTTATTTTTAGTGAACAAAGTAAAAAAGAGATTTAAAAAAACCCAAAAAAACAACTAAATGTGTCTTTTCCAGATCAAATTTTCACCAATAGCTAAAAAGTTGTTTGTGGTAACTGCAGTGAGTGCTATATCTGTAATTTTTCTGGCCCATCATTTTAAAAGAAGACGTGGGAAGAAGAAAGGAAAGATATTACCATGGGAACCAGAGCACCTCCTACTTGGATATGCTAAAAGAACAGCATCAGATAAAGGTATGTGGAAATAACTGAGTTAAGTCTGCAAGAGATTGTTTATGTGTAAATCATAGATAGCTGAAGTACAGTGGTTTCAGTGTTTTAGTCTCCAAAACTTTCTTCCTTCTTATTTAACTCACAAGTAATAAAGAACATTTTAGAAGCCAGGCATGGTGCATGCCTGTAATCCCAGCATTCTGGGAAGCTGAGGCAGGAGGATCGCCTGGCAGATTAGTGATTTAGCAAGAATCTGTCTCAAAAAATAAAAAAAGAGTGGGGGTATAGCTCATTGGAAAGGCCTTGGGTTCAATCTCAGTACTGCAAAAAGAAACCAATATGAAAACCAAAAAAACCCTAATAAACACATTTTAGAAAGATTAACATATACAGATAAGTCAACAGAAAAAAATCTTTTGAAGTTCTGCCGAGAAATAACTCCTGATAATACTTTTGATGTATTTCTGTCTCTTTATATTTACATTTAACTTATCATATTGAAATGTAAAATTTGATATATGTAAATTTATATTTAAGTATGTTTTTTCTTTACTTTTTTTTTTGAGACAGTCTGGCTATGTAGTTCACGACTGGCCTTAAACTCACTGTGTAGCTCAGACTGGCCTCAGACTCGCAGCTAAGCCCCTGCCTCAGCCTCCCTCGTGCTGCAGTTACAGGTGTGCACCACCACACACAGCTGCGTTATTTATTTAAAATTGTGGTCCTGTATTGTATAACCTGCTTTTAATATATTTGACAGTAAACAAGGATGTCTTTCTAGGTCAGTAAATATGGATCTGTGCTGTCATTTTTAATATGTGATTAGTGTTAAAATTATATACACGTTCCTTAACATTTAAAGTTTTCCCTGTTTCATTTAGGATATTTGTGGTTTTTTTTTTTTGTTTTGCATATTTGTCTATTTATCTGTTATATTTGTGTATTTCCTTAGTATCTAACATCCTAGAAAAATTTCTGGCCCTTAAAGGATTTATTTCAGTGGCTGAGGCAGGAGAATTGCTGTGAGTTTGAGTCCAGCCTCAAAAAAAAAAGAAAAGTTGTAATTTTTATTAGTGATACATACTGCTGAATTGTAGCAATAAGAATAATTTCTTGGGCCAGGGATTTAGCTCAGTGTTTCCGGCGCCTGCCTCACAAGCGCAAGAACCCAAGCTCGATCCCTGGTATAAAAATAATAATAAAATAACAATAAATAACAATAAATAATAATAATAATAATTTCTTAAGCATGCTTGGTATTTTAGTGGCCCCTGCCCCATTCTTGAGGATTAAAACCAGTGCCTCCTACACAGCTGCATTCCTGGACCTTTTTGTTTTTAATTTTGAAACAGGGTCTTGTTTCCCAGGCAGATGTCTCTTAATTACAGCTGTGTGCCACTGCACCTGGCTTCTTTTTATTTTTAAATTACTTAATTTATGGTACACTTTTGTGATTCATTTTTAATCAGTGACTTTGTGCAAAGTGCAGTGAATGTGATAGTAATTAACGTTATCATTTATAGATAATTTACTGGGTCTCAACAAAGCGCTGTATGTAGTGCTTTATTTAACTTTTAGTGCATTCCTATGAATTAGGACTGCAGTTTTGTTATTCTTCCTATTTTATACTTAAAGAAAATTGAAATATGTAAAAGTTTAATGAATAACCAAAGGCCATATAAGTGAATTTGAATCTAGGAGGGTCTTAACTGCTTTGGGTAGAAAAACTAAGATGTCTGACCTAGAAGAATGGATAAATGCGTAGAGGAAACAATATAAAAAAATAGACATGGCTTATAGTCTCAGCACCCTGGGAGTCCGAGGCCGGAGGGTCTCAAGAGCCCAGCCTGTGAGCTTAGTGACTTAGCAGTACCCTGTCTCAAACAACAGCAATGACAACAACAAAAATCCCTGCCTAAGTGCAATGTAATGCAGTGTGGATAAGGTTTAGATGTATTTCAGGAAGAGAAGTGCTTATATTCTAAAATAATTCAAAGGTTCATAGTTGTCAGTATTTTTATGCTGATTATAATAGACCATTCCAGACCATCCTGGTTAATCAGGTGAATGATTTACTTCTCGTTGCAGAAGGGGATTTTAGCAGTGTTAGAAACGCGAGAGATATAAATTTTATTGTTACATTTAATAATTGTGCAATTGAAAGAGGTTATTTTAAAAATCAGAAGCTTTCTGAATGCATATAATATGAACTTGTAGTTTTGTGTGAACTTTTTCACTGGAATTATTGATACTTTTAATATGTTTGTTTAATAGGTTCAAGTTGCTCCAGTAGTAGACAGAATTTGACATTGTCTTTAAGTTCTGCCAAAGACAAAGGATCTCAGTCTTGCAACTTTGCCAATGGAGGACTTTTCAGTAAATACTCAGGTTCTGCACAGAGTTTGGGCTCTGTAAGTAAAAAATATGTTGCTACTTTTTTTTTTTTTTTTTTTTTTTTTTTTTTTTTTGGGTTTTTTGAGACAGGTCTCACTATGCAGTTGAGACTGGCCTGGAACTCACTATGTAGCCCAGGCTGGTCTCAAACTCGTAGCAATCCTCCTGCCTCAGCCTCCCGAGTGCTGGGATTACAGGCATGTGCCACCACGCCTGGCCTGTTACTTACTTTTTTTAATGTGTACTTTTCTCTTGTTAACTATCGGCTGAAGTGTCACACACCTGTAACTCTTAGTACTGAAAGAACCTTAAGAAATCATCAGGCTGAGTTTGTTCTGTCAGGTGAGTAAGTGTCCTCTTGCTGATGCTCAGTCTGGTTCCGAGTGCTCGGAGTGACTGATAGAGCCCCGGGGCCCCGTGAGGTGGCTTTGGTGTGGCAGTGCTGCGTCCAGACTAGATCTGTGCTGTAGAGCAGCTCGGCGCTGCATTCGGACTTGTGCTCGGTCTGCGAGCCTGTGCAGGTAAAGGAGCCGCGTGTGGCTCCTCAGTTCCTTCGCAGCATTCTCTAGGTAGTAACTGGTAAGCTAGAGGACTCCCTTCTTCCGCTTGATATAGTATTGACTGGCAGGTGAGGAAGGAAGTTCGCATTTGTTTAAATCTAATAGAGTCTGATTAATTAGGTAGGACACGCACTTGCCCCTTGGTACAGAACAGGTGAGATAATACACAATGAGAAATGTGTTTTTCGTCCACTCAGTCCTGCTCCTTGGAGATGAACACCAGCAGTTTCTTATGTGTATTTTTAGATGGTATAGCACATACCACTGTCAGCGTGTGTGTTCATCTTCTGCTAGATGAACACCATTCTCTGTTCTGTACCTTGCCTCTGTATTTCCCTGGAATGTACAGCTGCCCATTCTGTAATACCTAAAAATATGCTTCATCTTTTTTTTTTAGTTAAAGAAGTGGGATCTCATGTTGCCCAGTCTAGCTCTGAGCTCCTGGGCTCAACTGACCTTCCTGTTTCAGCCTCCTGCTTTAGCTGAGGCTATAACTATATACCACCATGTCCATGAGAAGCATACTAAATATTCCAGGGTAGGAACGTCTAGATAAAGGTGTGCAGACTTGAGTTCTGTAAAACTGAACATAATCTAGATTTTCTCAGTCAGAGAGGTGCCTGTGTAGGATATTCTCAATTGAAAGTTGAAGCTGTTTTATATGTGTGTGTGAGTGTGTGTGTATGTTTGTTTGTTTTTTGGACAAGGTATTGCTACCTACGTTAGGCTGGCCTTGAATTTGCTGCCATCCTCCTGCCTCAGCCTCCTGAGCTCTGGGATTCCAGGTGTGCACCACCATGCCCAACTTCTCTTTGCCTGGTTTTTCTCTCAGGCAGTACCATAGATGCCTACCGTAGGGTCATGACAGCAGCACTAATAAGGCGGGAACATGGTCCATAAAACTTGGTAACTGGGTCTGAAAGCCATGGGAAGAGATATGTGGATGATGACTTCTGTTTTTCAGAATTTATGGGAGTGGAAGTAGTATTAAATGAGCTAGGGACAAGGGGGTTTTCCTGTAGGAAGAAGCTGAGGTCCTTTTATGACAGAGTCAGTTTGAGACACCAGCAGAAGAACCATATAGAATTACCAGTAGGCAAATGAATGGCTCTAGGTTTTCCAAAAGAAAACATAACTGGAATTAGGGATTTGGTGGTCATCTGCATCATCGAGGTGATTGAAATGATCAGCCTCGTGGACCTTGCTAGGGAAGGACTTGTGTGACAAACACTGAATTATCATTTAGCACAGTCGAGATGGCCAGAGTTCTAAGAGCACAGCTGGGTGTGGTGGCCCATGCCTGTAATCCCAGCACTCAGGAGGCTGAGGCAGGATTGCTGTGAGTCGGAGGCCAGGTGGGGCTATAGAGAGTTCAAGGCCACCCTGAAATGCAAAATAAAATCCTGCCTTAAAAAACAGCAACAAAAACAGAAGAAAGAAAGAGAAAAAGAAAAAAGTTATAAAAGCAGAATAAGCTAGCTAATACTATAACTGCCTGATTTTTGATAAAAAAAAAATTATATTCAAAATATTGTTCCTTTTTTTTTTTTTTTTTGGTTTTTTTTGGTTTTTTGAGACAGGGTCTCACTGTGTAGTTGAGACTGCCCTGGAACTCACTGTGTAGCCCAGGCTGGTCTCTAACTCACAGAGATTCTCCTGCCTCAGCCTCCCGAGTGCTGGGATTACAGGTGTGCACCACCACGCCCGGCTACTTGTATATTTTTGATCAGACAGGGACTTGGAATACTTAGGGTCATAGACCTCTAATTTGAATGAAATCAGAATTATACACGGTACAAATCACATGGGTTGTTTTACTAGGAATGATTTATATATATAAATGGTAAATATAAAAGATCACAACACTATGTAAGAGAAGCTTTGAAATAATATCTGTCAATCTTCATTTTAGGTCCAGAGTGTCAATTCTTGTCACAGCTGTGCTTGTGGCAATTCTAACTCCTGGGACAAAGCAGACGAAGATGATGTTAAACTTGTTAATATTCCTGTGACCACTCCTGAGAACTTGTACTTAATGGGTAGGAAGACTGTGATAAAGTTTTAAGATATTGTGCTCATATTTAATTTCAAAGTAAAAAAAGTGAATTGTTCTAAGAAAAGCATCTATGATTTTTATATCTGTTAAATCAGGCTATGTAATACATAGTAAATACCAATTATATTAGTCTTCTGAGGGTGCTGTAATAAAGTACATAAACTTGGTGGCTTCAAACAACAAAATTTTACTCACCCAGAGTTTGAGAAGCCAGAAGTCTGAGCTTATTATGACTGACCTAGAGTCAGGTGTTAGTACCTGTCGTGTGTATGTTGCCTGTTCCTTGTGTCCCTGCCCTCTTCCAGCCGCTGGTGGCTGCCACGAATTCCTTGTCCTGTGGCCACATCACTCCATCTCTGTTTTGGTTTTCATAGTACATTTTCCTCTGTGCATATCTGCTCTCCCAGGATCTCTCTCTTGTGAGGCCACTGGTAATTAGATTTAGGTCCACTAGGTAATCTAAAACAGTCTCTGGTTAGGAGCCTTGTGGGTCCCCTGGCCCAAGCACTCAGCTCTTGTTGTAATTCCTCTTCTAGAATTGATGGCATTAAAAAGATTGGGGACATTTGTTTGACTTGATGTTATAAAACTGATAATTCGTGGTAGTCTGAGTCATGTTCTGTAGTGACACAGTATACTTCCCAAGGAAGCAACTTATCTCCGGGCAGGTCTGCTATTGGGTAATCCTTCCTGTGTTCATCCAAAGTAATTGGATGGATAGAGAGAGGACAGTAAGAGAAGAAAGGATGAAGAAACGAGTTTGCGCAGAAAGGAGAGTGGATATAATTGTCTTTTAATAGGATGATGGGTGTAATTGTCTCGTAAAAGCATACATTTTTTAGAATGAAAATTGAAAGGTGGTTCTTCACTACAGAAAATCAACAAGAAGGAAAGGCCTACATTGCATTTGAAGATTTTTGGTTAGGGTCCTAGATTCTCCAGGTAACTGAAGAAATAATGACTTTAAGGAAGACACATTCTTCCCTTGAGAATGTCTTTCTGGATTCTTGAGCAGCTTTTAAAAGACCTTTTTCTTTTATATGTATAGGAAATTTGAAGTTTTAATATGTTTTGTTTTTTAAAGTACATATTTATTTATTTTTTTTTATTTTTTTGGTACCAGAGATCAGACTTGGGACCTGGTGCTTGCGAGGCAGGCGGGGGTACCACTGAGCTAAATCCCCAGCCCAGTACATAATTATTTTGATAAGCTTTTTTTTTTTACTTGGAGAAGAAAGAGGTATAGTCACTTTTTTTCACCCTTAAAATTTTTCTCTAAGAAGGGATATGAAATTCCTGCTTGAACTAGAGCCAGACCTATAGGTGTACCTTGGAGATTTTTAATTCTGGCCAACCAATTTATCCAAGTCAGGAAATTGTGGTTTAGGACACCATTTTTTTTTTAGTACTGGGGATCAAACTTGGGAGGCAGTTTTTGATTTTTTGAGACAGTCTTACATAGCTTCAGCCGGCTTTGAACTCACTCACTATGTAGCCCAGGCTGGCCTCAAACTCAAAGCAATCCCTGCCTCGGCCTCCTGAGTGCTGGGATCACAGGTATGCACCACCATACCTGGTGATAAATAGTTCATTTTGGACTTTTGTGCTACTTTCTCTCAGATTTATTGTTTCCTTCTGAGAATTTACAAGCCTGATAGAAGTTGTAAAGTAGTTTTTTCTATTTAGAGGGACATTTTGATATATAATTGTCTGATTATAAAGATTGACCATTAATGTTGAACTTTCAATGAATTAATGTTATAGAAAAATTCTAAGTGTTATATGCATTTGAGTTACTTTTTAAAGAAGAAGGAAGACATCCTGACCATTTTCTGTCTTGAGTTTTGGTGGACTAGAATTGTAGGCCCAGAATATTTTGGGAAATTAAGATTCTACTGTGAAATAATATTAGCAAGTATAAAATTATTTTTTGGTGCTGAAATCACAGGGAGACTGTGCCATTACTGATAACTGTACGAAAATACTCCAGACCCCAGGTAATTTTATTTTGGCGTGGGTTTCCCCTACTTACAATTGTCCTGTTCTCAATTTCTAGGTATGGAGTTATTCGAAGAGGCGTTGCATCGATGGGAGCAGGCGCTAACCTTCCGCCACAGGCAGGCTGAAGAGGACGCCTGTGGATCCATTAAGCTGGGTGCAGGAGATGCCATCGCTGAGGAGAGCGTGGATGTGAGGAGACTCATTGAGCATGGTGTTCTTATTGAGGGGATCAGACTTTTCCCTGTTAATGCAGTGTCTTTGATTTCTTTGACATTTGAAAGAACTTTTCTTTTTTACCTCCCTTTGGACCACGTGAAGGACTCTGGGTATTTTCTGTTCAGTTATCGTTCATCACATCTACTGACTGTACATATTCTAGGAGGTTTTTGTCAGTGCTGGGGATTGAACCCCAGGATCACTAAGCTACCCCCTCATTCCCTCTCTTCGTTTTTAGAGACAGGATCTTGCTCAGTTGCCAAGGCTGGCCTTAAACTTGTGATCTCCTGCCTTAGCCTACCAAGTCACTGGGGTTATAGGTGTGTGCCACCATGCCCAGCCTTTAATTTTTGGAAACCTGTTTTGTGCTTTGGATTTGCTTAAGTGTTGTATTCATAAATGTCACAGAGGTAGAATTGGACTTGCTGGTCCTTATCGATCCTTTTAATGGACTGCTAATTTTCAAACTTGGGAGTGCACCTTGAGGGCTTGTGAGACACAGAGTTGGGGGCCCACACCCAGGTTTGTGATTCACTGGGATGTGGTGGCCGAGAGAACTGCATTTCTAATATGTCTTCAGACGACAGTGATGCCACTGGCCAGGGACCTTCCTCTGAGAAGCGCTGAGCTGGTCCAACTCCTTAATTTCAGATAAACTGAATCCCTGAGACCCGAGACCATTTTCCCAATGGCACAGCTAGAACCCAGGCCTCGTAACTTCGGTTGTGACGCTCTTCTCTTTCCCTGCCTTTTACTTAAATGTAAACACTTTCTGTTTGAAATTTTAACATTTCTACACATGCTACTTCTCTCCGTAGGATATTATCAGTACTGAATTCATCCATAAACTTGAAGCTCTGCTGCAAAGAGCGTATCGTCTCCAGGAGGAGTTTGAAGCCACCCTTGGGGGATCTGACCCTGATTCCCTTGCCAGTGATACTGGTAAGATGGACTTATATTTCCGTTTTCTAATACAGATGTTTTCATAAAAGGTAGGCTTTTCCTCTTTTATATCCTTGAAATCATTTGCTTCAGGATCTTATGTATTAATACATCCAATATGTTTTATAAAATAGTCAAGAGAAAAAAGTTCTATTGTATCTATTTTTCTTTCAGTTTTATGCTTCAAGTGAATTTAATTCCTTTAAGGTACAAATTCAAGCAGCCATCATTGGTAGGACTTTATTATTATTATTGTTATTGTTATTAATTTTGTGTGTGTGTGTGTTTTTGAGACAGGTTCTCACTGTGTAGCCCAGGCTGCCCTTGAACTCATAGCAGTCCTCCTGCCTCAGCCTACCCAGTCCTGGCGTTACAGCTGTATGCCACCACACCCAGTAATGTGACATTATTTTAAAAATATATTCTAGATGAAAAATATCTCAGTTAGTGTTAGAGTGTGACTGCTTATCCCTGAGGCAGAACATTCACCACCCACAATTTAAAGGAGGAGAGATTAATTTTAGCTCACATTCTTAGTCCATTGTTGGCTGGCTCCAAGGCAAGGAGGCTTGGAGGAAAGGTCTGGCAGAGAAAAGCTGCTCACTTCCTGGAAGCTGGGAAGCAGGAAGTGGGGAGAGAGGCCCTTCCAAGTCACGCACCCAGGGACTCTGCTCTGAGCAGGCCCCGCCTCCTGTCAGCCAGTCAACCCTGTCAGCACAGTCACCCCGAGGGGAGGAGTCCTGCCCAGAGCCTTGGGGGATGTTTTAGATCTAAACTGTAACAGAGGGAGAAAAATTAAACAGTAATAGGAAATGGAGGGCCGGGGATTTAGCTTAATGGCAAGCTCAAGGTCCTGATTTGAATCCCTGGTATCCCCCAAAAATAATGGGGAGAGACCCACCGCCTCAGAAATGTGTATGTAGTTTGAGCTCCTTTTTTTTTTGTACCAGGGGTCGTCTCCAGTCCTTGTGCTTGTGAGGAAGGCAGTGGCACTACTGAGCTAAACCCCTGGCCCCTGAGCTCCACTTTAATTGCAGGATAGCTTTTGAGGTAATAGACAACACGTACATTATTCTATACCTTTTTTTTTTTTTTTTTCTTTTTGAGATAGGATCTCACTATGGAGCCCAGGCTGGCTTCAGACTCATGGTGATCCTGCTGCCTCAGCCTCCTGAGTGCTGGGATTACAGGTTTGCGCCACTGCACCTGGCTTATATACCATTATTTTTATCTCCTATTTTAGTGAGAAAAGAACTTGGAGGAAACTTCTTCAATGAAATCTTTTGAAAAGTTTTTTTTTTATTAGTATATTGTCACAATTTATAATGATTATACCTCATAAGAAGTTGGTATGTGTACATAATACATCTTAATTCTTTTTACCCTCCTTTTCTAAGGTTTTTTAAAAGAAAGGATTAATTAAATTGTTCTTAGACTTCTGTAAATATCCCCAAAGATATTTAATATATAAAATAAGACAAAAATCACATTTTAAAAAAATCAAAAATGGTTTAAATCTAGCTGGGTGTAGTGGCCTCTGCCTGTAATCCCAGATATTCTAGGGAGGCTGAGGCAAGAGAAGCATAGGTTTGAGGCCAACCTGGTCAATTTCTTGAAAGCCTGTAGCAAAATAAAATTTTTCTGAGACAGGGTCTCATTATGCAGTGCAGGCTGGCCTTGAACTCACCACGTAGCCCAGCCTAGCCTTGAACTCATGGTGACCCTCCTGCCTCAGCCTGCTGAGTAGGGAGCATGCGCCACCATGTCTGGTATATTTTCCATTAACTTTGGCCTTTGCTTTCTCATAAAACTATTGTCACCAAATATTATTTATGTGATGAGTATTTTTAATAGTTTCTCTCATATTAGCATACGCTTTGATATATCTAGGAAATTTTGGCCAGAAAAAAATGTTGGCAATATTTATGTCAGAAAATATAATTTCCTGCAGTCCTAGCACTCAGGAGGCTAAGATACCAAGATCTCAAGTTGGAGGCCAACCTGGACTGTGTAGGAGGACTGCCTCAAAACAAGCGGGGTGTGATTTTAAACCTCATATTTGTATTTATTTTTCTATAATTTTGTAATTTTAATTAGAATGTTATTTTTGTTAGTAAGAGAATGGAGAAGAATTTTAAAAGAAATGGAAAATGGAAATGGAACAATTGGAGAAGATGGGAGAGTGGCAAGGACAGCACAGAGAAAAAGAAGTAGGAAAAATTGGAACTACAAGGAGGGGAAGCAGAGGACCCTGAGGCTCTTCTGTCTTCCTCTGGGCTGCCGGTCTCTGCTTGCAGTTCCACTGGCCTCGTGTGGAGGAGCACGCGAAGCTCCTCGTCTTGGGTTTGGTTCTGTGGCACATGCCCAGAATTTCTTTTCCTCCATGGCCTTTCTGAGAGATTGGCATGATCTGTCTCTGGTTTTTCAGGATATGAAGGTTTCTTGGCTGCTGCTCCAGAGCCTCTGCTTAGGTTCATGTTGCTCTGGACAAGAGCAGCTCTGTGCCAGGGGCTTCCCTTTTGAACAACCGCTAGGTTGTTTCTGGGGAAATGACCATCAGTTCGGAACTCTAATAAACAGGACTTTCAGAATGGGACCCAGCACACACAGCGCAGATGTTTCATTCACCAGGTACGGAGTGAGTCCTGTCCCTCCCTGGTAGTTCCTGGCTACCAGCTGCTCACTCTCCTTGCAGCCGTGCAGTGTCTTGGCCTCCTATTGCCCGGAGGTTCCTGGTGACATAAAGCTGTTCTGTTTTGTTCCTTTTCAGGATGGTTTGCATATTGCATGTTTCCATTTTTCAACTTTTGGATTGAAAGAGCTGACTCTGTGGCCAAGATTCTAGTAAGGGAGTGGCTCTCTCTCTC